GATCTGTGAGGACTTGCACAAAACGCAAAATATATGCTGGAAGCTTCTCTTCACCTTTGCAATACAGAAGATGTAGAGTTTCTAGAGAGTCTAAGGAGATTAGAGCACAGAGGCTGGACAGAAATGTCACTGGCGCCCATCAGGATGGATGTCTGATGATTAAAGACGCTGCTGTTGCTGGGCAATAGTTTCTGGATGCCGTAGCCCAGAGTCAGTAATGCAGTACCCTGCAATAGAAGCAGAAATGGATACCTAACCAAGTGCCCTAAGGACCATCAGAGCCACGATGCTACAGTTTTATGCTGTCCGTTCTGTGCTAACCCTAGAAATCATAGACAATTTCATCAAAAGGGACTTGAAGAGGTCATCTGGTCCACCCCTCACACTGAAGTGGGTTCATGGGTTTCTAAATGAGGCTGGATAAACTCCCCCTCTCTGCAAGAAGAGACACAACGGTAGTCCCAAGAGGCACAAGACTCACTGCGCTTAACCAAGGTGCCAAGAGGAGGAGGAGGACATGGGAGAGCCATCCCATGGTGACAGTGGGCAGCAGTTCCCAGGCATGAGCTGACTGGGTCCCTGCATTATCCAGCAAGGTCAGCCTCAGCAGCCACGATGCCTCATTTCTCCCACAGCTGGAGACTAGGATTATTCTGCAAATCCTAAACCCACCCAGTATAGCCCACCACCTGACTGACAAACTTGAGCTTCTTGAAGGACACTTGTGGGTCAAAAGCTGAGGGTTTATTCATGCATGATCTACAGAGCTATAAACACCTCCAATGGGTCACACCTACAAGGTGAAATTTAAGATGAAGGGTTCATTAACTAGGCTGTGGTTTCAGGGGTGGGATTTAGTTTGAAGTTTCCTTGTTTTAGCCTACAGAGCATCTCAGCTCACCTTAGAGAGGTGCTCCATGGCTCCACGGACTGCATTGACTCACCACCTCTGACTGTCATGGGAGCTTGGACCCCGGGCCCACATGTAATCCCAAATTTGGGACAGTGAATGCAGAGCTGAATCTAGGGAAACTCAGAAGCTGGATTTTTGGAGTTATTCCTTAGCACTTTGAAAAGCCATATGCCCTTTTATGGTGTCCCAGTTGTGTACTTAAAACGTCCAATTCATTTTGGCCTCAACCATGATCTACTTCAGTCTCAAGGTTAAGATTAACGTATGAAATTTGTAAAAGCTGCTCTGTCTGGCAATGTGCAAACATATGGATATGGAGGCGTAAACGAAGGATTTTGTGGTCTTAAACTAAGTCAGAACATCAGTCCATGCCCAATTCCAAAGATAAAATAAACTTTCCCACTGAACATGTAACCCGTCTCAGGATCACCCCATTCATGTTGATTTACTACAAAGTTCCCTGGAACTTAACGGGACCTGATAATGGTGAAATCCCAAGATGCATAAGCAGAGGAACTAGATGGCTGCTACTACAAATAATAAAAAGAAAAAACCCCCAAATATCTCAGTGGTATGCAGCAGGGTACCCCAGATCTGACCCAGTTTCAGAGCTTGTCTATAGACTCCTTTAACTTCACAGTTAGGGCTTGGTTTTTATGTCTTGCAGAGCAGATGAGGTTTTACCAGTAAGAAAGCTGTGCTGCTGCAGAGAGCCTTCCCCCTTTCTTGTTAGGGGGGGAAGGCTTTCTTGTTTCTTCCCTGTGAAATCTGTTAATACAAAACCAGCTGAATCTGTTGCAAGGGCTGTGCACGGTTTGCTATTTCAGTAGGAAAGTTGCACACTCAAGTAAAATATGAGATTGGTACAAAACACAAATGTTGACCAGAATAAGAAGCAAGTGAGGCAGTGTCTGGACATCATTTCTTTCCACATCCCTGTGTAGCATCCTCAGAGCTACTGTACTTAGCAGGCTGTGAAGGTGCTGGTGTGAAGTAGAAGTTGACAACTTACACTGTTTTCTGGCAAAAGGGAATTTTGTGACAGCAAATGTAGTATGTAGGTACAGGGCTGAGCAAATGCAGATAGAAGAAAGGGATCGACAGGTGGAAAGCACTTGTAGAAAAATTGGTATGTACATTATTGCTTTTGGCGCCATTGATGGAAAGTCAAACATAGAAAAGCAAACAGCAAACGTTAGGAAGACGTGTGGTCCTGTCAATTATTAAATGAAGCTGGCAAATGGCTGTGACTCAGAGACAGCTGGAGAATAGCCGGGTTTGGGGGGAGCTGCAGGTATGGCGAGTGCATGCAAGCCTCAAGGTAGCACATTTCATATTGCAAAGCTAAATCAATGGTCAGCAAGGTACCTGGCCATGTTACTCCGTAGAGTGGGTGAGACGTTTTTAGGATAAATACAAACTAAAATTACTACGAGTTTCATTACTCAGCATCACACAGACCTTTCAGGACTGCAATGCATTAGCTGCGTGCTGTTCTTGAGTGAAAGGCCACGTCCAGGAGGGCTGGGAAGCCCCATTAGCACCAGATGGACAAATTGTCATATCACATCTGTCCCTGGAAGGAGATGCACGGGCTGTTTGGGGCTGGGTGACTCAGAGCCGCAGTGTCAATCGGCACTGCTTGGCTGAAATGAGTGAAGTGCTCGTAGTTTAACCCAGTTGTGGATTTCACCTGTGAGGCAATTGTTTCAAAACAGCCGCCAGATCTGTCAGCAGCTGACATGCATCAGCTGCATTAACCTCCAAGGGAACTGCTCTGTACCTCAGGGAGCTGCTCTCTACTGTCCACAAGCTGATTACAGCAACGTTTGCTCTCGCCAACGGCTTGCCCAGCCTGACTCACTGGATCTAGCAAAACATTCAAGCACAAGATAAACTGCTCCTTCATGTGCTCACACAACAACATGCCTGTGGTTATTGCACAGCGTAACACTGCTGAGCGCTCAGGTCTCCGTGGTTAGGTCCCCAGCTTCTGACCTCTTGTTGGCAGATCAGAGCAGCTTGACAATTTCAGCAGGCACAAATGGACATACACAAATTCCCTGACTTCAGACATCTACTTTACAGACCCTTGGAAAAATACAAGAGAGACTTCTGGCAGCTTCCCAGCCATGAGGCCCAGAGCCTGCATGTTAAACGCTCACATTTGCCTTGCAGCCACCTTTAGTTTTGCACAGAGTACGTCTTTCCTCCTGCAGACACCAGTCCCTTCCCAGCATCTGACAGACATGATGCTTTGCAGCGTGCACAGCAGCACCCATGTGTTCATGCTGGTTTTACTGTTTGGCACCTCCCAGTGATGGTACCCAAGAGACCGTGGAAGAGACGGAGCATTTCCTTCCCCTGATGAAAAAGAAAAACCCAGGCGCAATTTTCCCATAACTCTCTCATAGTACCTAACTCCCTTTCACAGCACTGATCACAATTTTCCCATGACTCTCTCATGCTTGCCAAAAAAAAGTACCTAACTCCCTTTCACAGCACTGATCCTTGCCATTTGGATTCTCTGTAGCAGCACCTTGGACAACTGGGAGAAGCTCTCAGTGCATTTACCAAAGCAGCTTTTGGAGCTGTAGGGGGTGGATGGGAAACAAATAAAAAACTAAAGAGAAACACCCATTTTTTTCTCACTACCAAAGCTCTCCAGCACATCCCTGCAGTGCACAGCATCTCCCAGTTTGCTGGGACCTGCTAACAGATGGCCAGGGCATCCCAAGCTCCAGTCCTGCTCCTGACCTTGTAGCTCTTCTTTGCGCAGTTGGACACCGACCCTGCCAAGTGCCTGCACTGAAGTCAGTGGTTTCCTCTGCCTTCATCCCTCCCCAGTACGAGTGCTGTTCGCAGCATCACTGCAGCATGCTCTCTCCCATGAGATGGGGGCTGCTGCCCCCTCACCTGCAAGGTCATGGTTTCTCTTTCTCCTCCTTTTCACCCTGCTCCCTCCTTCTTGACCACTCAGCTACTGGGATGAGGCACAGACTGGGCTGAGATAGCCCAGAGGAGGAGGCCAGCCCATGAGGAAGACTGAAGGCAGTGATCTGGGGGCAGAAAGGAGCAAATGGTTTGGCATGACCCTGCTGACATGACAAAGTCACCGGGATTTGGCTTGCAGGGAGGATTATTTTACACAATGACAAGGGTAGTTAATCAGGAGGTAGATGGCCTTGGGACAGGGTGGAGGCTCCATAATGACAGCCTGATGCTCTGAAAGGGGCAGCTCAGCCAGCCTGGGTATGAAGCATGTCATTTATACATCACATGCATCCCTAAGGAAACGTGGCAATATACAAATAGCACCACATGTATCAGGATGCGTTTGGGTTGCATTGCATGCCCATTGCACCCTACACCTCCATGCCAGACCAGCCTATCCTCATTTGGATCATAACCTGGGAGGTGGGGAGAGATTTTTGTGATGTTCCCAAAAAAGTTATAGGCAGAGCAGATGATATCATGAGACAGTAAAAATGATACACTCCCCTTGCAGACCCTGCAACGAGATTGGACTCAGTTTTCTCATTTTGTGTCCTTAGGTTACAGTCCATAGGCCATTAGTACCTGTCTATCCTCCATAACTGTAAAGAATCACATTATTTGTATAATGAAAGCTGAGGAGTCTCATATGATCACATAACCCTGAGAACTGACAGTTTCATATAGTGGACTGATATAGGGATATTGTAATTAAAAGCACAAGTCTACCAACACTGTTTGTATTTTTTCAGAGACCAAAACTGCTGTTAGCAGTGAATCCCTTGATGAAAGCCTGCTCTCAGCAGTCTTCTCTCTCCCCACCTGCAGGGAGGACAGCTTCATCACACAGCCACACCAGCTCTGCCCTCTTGCAGACTTTCTGAGAAATGGGTCATCCCAAAATGGGAGGTGGAATAATGTGAATTGTCATAATCCATCCCTCCATGGAGAGGAAAAGAGCTGTATTGCAGAAGAGGTGACAGGTTTCTTCCGGCATGAGTGACTTTCTCTGGGAGAAGATATTGCCCATGAGCAACCAGTCTGGAGAGGAAAGGAAGGAGCAGACTGGCTTTGGAGCATTGCTGCTCTGGGACTAGACCCGCTGCTGGGTCCCTCTCCGACAGAGCAGGATGAGGATCCGCCTGAGGATCTGCTTGGTTTTCCAGCTGTACACGAGCGGGTTCAGGACAGGCAGCACCAGGAAACAGGCATCAGCCAGAAGCGTGTGAGTGAGGGGGGGCAGGTGCTTCCCAAACCTGTGGATGATGGACAAGCCAATGAGTGGGATGTAGAAGATCAGGACGGCACAGAGGTGGGAGATATATGTGCTAAAGGCTTTGGCTCGTGCTTCCTGGGAGACAATGTTCAAGATGGCTCTGATGATCATCATGTAAGACAGGAGGATGGTCAGGGAGTCCAGGCCCTTGGTGAGTATCACCGCGGTCAGCCTGTACAAGCTGTTGACCCTGACATCCCCACAAACCAGCCTCAGCATGTCCTGGTGCAGACAGAAGGAGTGAGACAGGACACGGGACCTGCAGAAAGGAATCTTCTTAATAAGAATGGCAATGGGTAGCACCACACAGATGCCCCGCATGAAGATCACACCCCCCACCCCCCCGCCTTCATTATCAGGGAGCTGGTCAGGACAGAGGCATAGCGCAAAGAGTAGCAAATAGCAACAAAGCGGTCGAAGACCATGGCCACCAGGACCCCAGACTTGATGGCAGAGAAGGAGTGGATGAAGTACATCTGGACAATGCATGCCTCAAAATGGAGGGAGGTTGACTCAAACCAGAAAATGGCCAGCATGTTGGGCAGGGTGGAGAGAGACAAGCCCAGGTCTGCCATGGCCAGCATGGAGAGGAAATAGTACATCGATGTATGGAGGCTGTGGTCTGTCTTTATCATCCAGAGTAAGGTGCAGTTCCCCGGGAGCATGAGGAGGTACAGGCAGCAGAGAGGCAATGCCATCCAGTAGCTGCTCATCGGCAGACTGGGAATGCCGGTGAGGATGACGGTCAAGGGACTGGACCCAGTCCTATTGGAAGATGACATCTCATGCACTGATGGTCTGGGGGTGTGGAAATAACAGTGTCTTGGAATAAAAGCCCTGCTATGACACCCCCCCCACGCACCCCAGCTACAACGGTGTTGGGAGGACAGGCTCCTGACAGCCAAGAAACCCCTGTGCAGCTGTCCTCATGCATATCCATCACATCAGCCAAGGAAAAGCCACAGTGGACCAGCCCCGGGGTCACTGTCTGGGCTGTGCATAGCAGCAGATAACTAGGAAAGAGCAGTGCACCATTTAGTCTCCCCTAGTTGTAGTCTCCAACATTTAAATACCCAGGGTTTCAGGAGATTTGGTGCCCAGCCCTTTGGGAGGTGCCTGAAAGCTTCTCAGCAGCAGAGGCAAGATGAGCCTGGGGCCAGGGTGCTCCTGCCTGGGGAAGGAGGAGAGGTGGGATGGAGACCTGGAGGTCAGCCCTGGGAACAGGGCTGGCTGCTCCCCGCAGCAGTAGGAGGAGCAGCCCTGGCCATGCTGGTCCCTGCAAGGCTGAAGCACCCGGACAGGAGAGGGAAGGGGGGACAGAGGGGGAGAGAGACAAAGGCAGAGAAAGGTCAATGTTTGTGCTGAACCGAATGCGGTCAGACAAGAGATAACATCTCACTCTGAGATGAGAAGTAGCCCCATTATATGTGACTCTGTATTGATTTCTTCCCTTTTTGTTTAAGTATGGCAAAATGTATAATGTTTTAGGGAGCTTTATCAGCTAAACCTGCAGGTCAATTAATCAAACTAACCCTGATGGAAGCAAAATGGATTTGCGCTTTACAGCTGCCAAAAAGGTTAAATGGAAAGGAAGAAATTCAGAGGCTCAAATAAGACCGAGAACCTGAAGTGGTGTTTCGTCTGCCTGAGGCCATTAGAAAACCCAACAGCAAACACCACATCTCCATTTAAGCACTCTGGAAACCACCTGCTTTCCCGGGCGGCTTCACTGCCCCGGGAGCATGGGCGATCAGCTGCGATGCTCAGTGACGGGAGGCCGGGGCAAGCAGGGGAGATTTCCAGAGAAATATTCCAAACAGGCTTCTCTGCAAATTCTGTTAAATTTAGTGCATCTTAAATGCGCCAGCTGAACAGCTGGTGGTCACAGCAGCCCATCCTCACCTCTTGCCACAGCTGATCAGGGAAAATGTGCATGTCTCTATTCAGCTGGAAATGAATATGTTTTGCATAACTGAGGAACACAAACTGATTGAGATTTGTCCCAGAGTTTGTCTGCACACGCACACGCACACTCTGAGACCTCATCTGCTATCAGGAAAAAAAAAATAAATCAAGTTTTCACATGGCCAAAAGGTCAGGCCTGAAAGACAGCGGTGGGAGAGCAGTCGTGCCTGCAAAGAGCTCAGCTCACCACAGTGCTGCTCTCCTCCAGCAGCCCACGGTGCAGTTCCTCAGAAGCCATCAAACACCCGCTTCCCTAATTAGGGGAAAGAGTCACGTAAGGACAAAAGTTAGAGCTGACCACACCTGGGATGAGGGAAAAAAGCTCTCTGAAACTGAACCAAGCAGTGTGGGAGAGGGAGAGCTGGGACGGCAAAAGAGGTAACTGCGGGTGTAAAGAACCTAAAGCTGAGGAGCTGAAGACCCCACTTTGCTCCTGTGGCGAGCAAAGGCACTGTAGAAATAAACTTACATGTCCTATTTGTGTAGCACTTGAGAGAATGAGGGAAATTTTTAATTATTTTAAAGGTCAATTTTTAGGGTGGCTTTTCATATCAAGCCCATCTGTATATATGAGATCAAAAGTAGTATTTAGTAAAGCAATTTGCTCCTAGCACTTTTCTAACATGCTGGTTTGTTGCTTCTGCCAGAGACTTTTGTAAATTCTTGTTTTGATGCGAGCCCTCAAACAAATGGTCCTTGCAGAGGAAGAACATCTCTATTCTGTCGTCTTCAGGCAGCCCACCCCATACTTACCCCAGGTCACAGCAGAGGACGCAGGCTGGGGACCAGGAACAGCCCTGGCTGCGCACACTGCTGCAGGCAGGCACTGGGCAGAGGGCTGGAAAGCCGTATTTAACCCAGCCAGAGCAAACCCCACGGGTCTCACCCAGGGAGTCACAGCTGATGTCTTTGCTCTTCAGGGGGCGTGAGCACCACAGGACTGCGTACAAGTAGGTTTTCCCGTCTCCTCTGAAAAAATGGCAGAGTGCAAAAATGTGAGTGAAGGCTGCTTTGGGGCACTGGCTGTAAAAAAAAAAGAAAATTGGCAAAAAATGTGCATTCAGAAAATTCCCCAGTTTTGCCCTGCTCTGTGAAACTTTTGCATTCTGGAAAGTGAATGCCCCGGTGCGTTCCACCAACCCTCCCCTCCAGGTGCCTCCGTGCAGCTCCCTGATTTATATATAGGTACACTTTATATACGTATATCACATTTAGATAGATAGATAGATAGATAGATAGATAGGTTAAATACAAGAAGACAAGGACAATAAGAAAAATCCCTAAAAGGTTCCAAAAAAAGAGCACAAACCAAAAGAACCAGCCAATGGATTTATAATCAGAAACTTTATTTTGAGAATTTTTTTGATTCTGTGATGAGTTTCCCATAGGAATGGTGGGTGGTGGGGTACGGAGATGGAGGGTGGTATGGTGCTCCCTTTGTCCACGGCTGTGGGGAGCCTCCAGCTGCCTGTTCCCCACCATTGATGGTATACAGACTGGGGCTGTCTATGTTTCCTTACCCTTCGGTCAACATCCTTGTAGAAAGCTGTGACACTCTTGGGCTGGTGGCAAGGAGGGAGAGGACAAGAGCATGGCGTGGTCTGATCGTGTGCCTGTCCAGGCTGCGGATCAGAGGATCAGAGGAACTCCTTGCTGAAGTTGCTGTGGATCCAAATTATTTACATGAGTTCGAAAGGAGATTGAGAGAATCTTGGAAGAGGGATTGCTGAGGGCTCCCTCAAGCAGACCAGCCCCCTCCTGAAATGAAAACAGCAGGACACTGGAGGAGAATTAAGGGGCATGATCAGCCACCCCCTGCCAGTTCTGTATCATCTGTGGACTTGCTGAGGGTGGACTCTGCCCCATCATCTCCATCATTAATGAAGTGGTTAAACAGTACTGGCCCCAGTATTGACTCACTAGTCACACTAGTGACTGACCTCCAGCCAGACCTTGTGCCACTGATCATGACCTTTCGAGCCGGGCACCTCAGCTTCTTTTGCCTCCTGGGACTCAAGGAGCCTGTCCAGGGGGTGAATATTTTGGTGTGGTGGGGAGAAGACCAAGAATCATTTCACAGTGCAGACCTGCATGTACAAACAAAATCACCTGGAGCAGCTGAGTTCTTCCAGCATGGTGCTGTGCCCTGGAGGACAGATAAAGGTGTCCTATAAAACAGGGCAGCCTGTGGCTTGTCCCGTGTCGGCAGCACTGAGCCTGGCCGGGACACTGTTCTGTGGTGAGAAGTGCGGGTCTATGGGTGCCTTGGGAAGCTGTTGGGTTTTGGTCTCCAGGATCTCCTCCATTGTTGACGCGTGACACCTCTGTGCTCCTGCAATCTGGTTTTATCTGAGGTTCCCTCTGCCATCCGCAGCACTGCGCTTTTTGTGATTGTCAAGATTTGTCCCAGACTTACCCAAAACTGTCTCCAAACACCAGGAGCCTGAGCTCAGATACTGAGTTGCTGCAGCTTAACCAGCTGTGGGTGTCAGACAAGCATGGTCATTCCTCGGGGGCTGTGTACCCTTTCAGACATGATGTAGCTCAGCTCACAGTGAGCAAAGCCGAAGCCAAGCAGAAGTTCCCAGCATTTTCTGGGGGTTAGAGCAGTCTCTCCAACACTTTCTGCAGCTCAGATGATGCAAAATACCCTGAGAAAGGCTCTGACTGCTTTGCTTGTCAGGCAGGGTCTTTGTCAGGACTGTGGGAGGAAAGAAACTATTCCCAGATGGCATTTTGTGAATATATTTTTCAGCTTGAAATTTCCCTGTTGTTGCCATAACATAACTTGTGTCTTAGCTGAGAGCACAGAGATGGGAGACGTCCAAATTGACAAACTATACTATGAACACAAAACCTACAGAATTTAGACTAAGCAGAAACACACTCACTTTGGACTTGTCAAGGCAATTTTTTACCCTTACCTTCAAAGTCCCCTGGAACTTAAATTTACAGTCCTTATCCTTTCCTGAGACTTCTGTGTAAGATAACATGTTTGCTTGCAATGAGACAAAGCATTTATCACCACCTCCTTCCTCCACAAACACCACGTGTCTGTGTCTGTGATAGACCCTATCAGGAGACCTTCAGAAGTGCGGATGTTTTCAGCTGTGGCAACTGTTCAGCGCCCAGCACAATGGGGTATGAGTCTGTGAATACTATTGCAAGTGATAATAGTGTAAGTTGCTCAAGGATTGTACTGGGAATTTGAAGTACAGAGGCCCTTTTCCTTTCCTGCTAGACTCAGTGCAAATATTTCCACTGGCTTCAGTGAGGTAGGGCTGAGCCTGAGCCAGGAATTCAAAGCAGGATATACTGATGCTTCTCTGTGCTTCATCCTTGCTTCTAAATTCTTGTTGCCCATTATAATAGCATAGTTGATAAATATCACTCTTCACTTCAGGGCTTAGGAGCTCAAGCAAATCTGCATGGAGCTCATGTCAGCATTCAAGAACATCAGCTTCAGGGCTGCATTTTTCCCCCAACAGGTTTCCCAGGGTTAGAAACTTCTCACCTCTGCTCTGTCTGTTTCACTGTGAGTCAGAGCAATGCCTCCTCATCTCTTATGCGGTGAGACGGGACTGAAGCCCATGTACTATTTCTTGGACAAGTTGTCCATTGTTCTAATTGTTTGTCTTCAGGATGTATTGTGCTGGCTTAAGTACAGGGAAATCAGTTGCAGTGCTTGTTTCCCTCGAATCTTCTTCATCCACTCACTGTTGCTCATGGAGATGTCTGTGTTGCTGCTGATGGCCCTCGGTAGCTTTGTAGCAAACCACAACCTCCTGCAGTACAAGTCAATTTTAAACACTTGAGG